TGCACCCTCAAAATAAAAAACAACTTTGAGTGACACTGGGGACCTTTCTCGTACCAAACTCCCAAGGAACTCCATGATCATGTCTGGAGCCGGCTTATCCTTTCCAAGGAGCCAGCCGCAGTAAAGTAAGTAAGTATTGTAGCTATTCTTTAAGCTACATTGTGCTACTTCGGTACTTTTAGTTAGCTTGCGGTATCTACGATAACTAAACGCAAATTACGGTGAAGAGCCATATCGCTGTAAACGGGTAAGGAGACCGACAGCGAGTGACCAACGGTTTATAGTGCGAGACCTGCAGCGAAAGGTTTACACATGCAACGAGGCAGCGTGACTCACCGGGACAGTTCAGTTCAGTTGGTATCCAGGACAGTGACGGCAATCGCCAGTGTCCGTGTTCTTACACTGGTGAGCTCCTCGGATCCCCAGGTGCTGCGACAATAGGAGAATTCACACTATCCTCGACCCGTTCAAAGTGTCGTCAGGGTATCAAAGCGAGGATACGAGTTTCGGGTCTCACGTGCAGAACACGCCACCCTGGAACTCCGTGGCATCGCTTCGCGACACCACGGCACAAGTGACAATTTCGCGGTCGAGCGTGAACAGTTGCACCTGGTAAAACAAAAGCTTGTTTCGACTAGAATAGTTTTTTTAGGTAAAAGGTGAAAGTGCCGTGTTACTACATACATGAATATTGTGAAGGCCCCAACCGCATGTTTTGTAACATGTGAAATGGTCCTAGTTATCTAGCAGGTTCCTCCAAGCCCAGGTCTAAAACGGTTAGCTTTTCAAATAGCGCATCATGGATGTGCGCACTCCATAGCTGTGTATACTGGTATACCGCTTCGTAGGTTCGCTTACCTCCAGCTTGACTTCACCAAAATTCACGATATTAATCGCAATATTGATTCTGCTCGTCAACACCCCGAGTCGCAAGATGAATCTCTATGTTCTTCTCTTCTATAATGATCGCTTTTGGCGGTCAATCCCTTCCAAAATATTGAGGGGCTGGTCTCAGTTTTGGCTTCCAGTTCTAGACTGCCTGTAATTTTCACTCTTCCCTCGTAACGATACTATATTTTTCCCAAAATCACACTACGGTTATCGGACAGGTGGTATGTATTCGATGTCAGAATCAATCACGCTTGTCCTGCAACAAGAAAGTAAGTGGATTGATTTCATAATAAAGACTACGTCTGAGAAATAGACGTATGATTTTCCGGTTGTTTCAAGTGAACTTTTTTTATGATATCTTCGCAAATTCTTTTTCACACGGAATGCCGTGCACGACTATTTTGCATTTTTGTTTGCCTTTCTACCTCGGCTGTCCTCAGAGTCTCTCTCTGGAAATACTCAGAGAACTATCATTAACCATGCACTTTTGCTGGACGGTTTTGGTTGCTGTCTCACGGATACCCATTTTTTGTAAAAGGGTAAATGAAAAATTAGTATGTTGTTAGGTTAGTGTGTTATATTTTATACCCTAAAAGTAGTCAAAGGGTTATATAATACCAAGATGTAATAAGTTGTACATCAATGTTATCCCAAGGTTATTATTATGCGTTTTATTTCGGTTCCCAGAACGCTTTGTGACGGCCTTTTCTACTTGACCACTAAACGATCGCGACCATTATACGAGTGAAGATCCATTTAAGTTGTAAGCTTTTCTGGATTGTTTGATGGCAAGTGTAGCCATGTTCGGTATAAGTTTTGCACCTTCGAAGTGTAAAATGTTGTTACCAGATTTTGTTGGCCTAGCCTCTATCCTCACTAACTGAGAAGTAGCAGCAGAAGAAGTAGACATATTCTGTTATTTGGGCGGCTATATCTCACCTGGCGGATGCGTCACAGATGAAGTGCATGTACGCATACAGAAGGCTCGATTGGCATTTAACAACTTGAGACATCTGTGGCGCCGTCCTGAAATCGACAGTCTGTGAGGGATCGAGTATACATTGTATCAGTTCGGCCAGTCGTGCTCTACGATACGGAGACTTGGCCATCACAGGAGATGGATGAAAATATAATGTCGGTGTTCGAACACTTGTCTACGATAAATCGCACGAATCTGATGGACAAGCAATATTGAGGTTAGACGCAGAGCTCTAGGCGATCACGGTCGACCTCTGTAGACTACGCTGGTTAGGTCATGTATTGCGCATGTCACTTGATCGGTTGTCACGGCGCGCAGTATTTACCGAGGAGGGAAGCGGTTGAGAAAAGACTCAAGAGTGGTCAAACGAAGACCTGTCATGAGGGTATGACAAACTTGACCAGGAGAATGAGTCACATAAGTTCTTTTTTTTATTACACACCCAAGTGTAGTGAACATCATATGAGGCGAACCATATAGTCACGAGAACCTGCTGTTCAGTGGTGGAAACCGGCAACCTAAGCCCCGGGGGCTTGGAGTGGACAACCACATAAGGCCCCGATAGGTTAGGCGTGGTATTGAACTGACTCCGCTCCTACGCCGCTTATTCTGTCTATCTCTCAATTCCGAGATATCCCCGACCCCATGAAAAATATCATAAATATTTCCCATCCCCAAACGCGGCGACCACTCTGACCCAAACAACAACCGCCCCATCTCTCTCACACCAGTCATTGCAAAGGTTATGGAATCAGTTGTTGCTGATTAACTCCGCAACCACCTAGAGCAGAGCAAGATGCTTAGTGACCGCCAGTACGGTTTCCGATCTCATCGATCTACCGGTGATCTTCTGCCGCTCATTTCGCATACATGGTCAGCGACACTCGACAATCACGGAGAAACTCATGCGGTGTCGTCGGATATATCGAACAGCTTTCGATCGTGTCTGGCATGCCGGTCTGCTGGCTGAGCTTCCCAAGTTTGGCTTCCCTTCGGAACTTTGTCTTGGACAGTAAGCTATCTGAAGAACCGGAGTATCTCCGTTTGAGTAGATAGGACCATGTCCTGTTTCGTGCCTGTGATTGCTAGTGTTCCCCGAGATTCTGTGCCTTCTTCTTTCCTGTTTCTGATCTTTATTGATTACCTTCTTTCTTGAACTTCAAATACTATTCACGCCTTTGCCTATGACGCTACCTTGCACTCTTATCCGTCCTATTACTCTTCGCACATCGCATTAGTGACGACCGCTCCTCCTTTAGTTTCTGATCTGGGCCTTATTTCTGCTTGGGGCCGTCGCAACCCTGTTCTCTTCACTGCCAGTAAAACTTCCCTTATGTCCATTTCTCTTAAGCACGCATCTTTTTCCCCTTCCTTGAATTTTACTTCGAACATTCTCCGTACCGCAGAATCATGCAATCTGTTGGGTCTTTCCTTATCGTCACCTTATATTTATATACTTGTCTCCCGCGCTGCGCGCAAAGTGCTCTTCCACGCCAGACGTTTCTTCACCCCCATTCACTTCTCGCTTTACAAAGCTCAGATTTGTCCTATACTTGAATAATGCAGTCATGTGTGGGATGGAGCTTCGTCCACATCTCTCTCTTGATCGGCTTCAATGTAAGGCCATTCGTCTCATCAACGACCCTCCCTAACATGCAACTTGCAGTCACTCGCTCACCATTAGGCAGTCGCTTCTTTATCCTTATTCTATCGATACTATGGATTTTGCTCTAATGAACTTTCCGCTTCTGTCCCTCTCCCGATTATTCTTCCTCGTAGATCCCGCGCACAAGCGGATAGCCACCTATTTCAAGCGACTATCCCCAGGTGCCGCATTTCTAACTTTCAATCACCCCCCCCCCAAAGCATCATAACTTTGAAGCACTCTCCCTTTCGGTCTTGCCTCCAACGTACAACATCCTATTCTTTAAACGCAAGCTGATTCTAGCTTGAATGTTCCCCCTGATCTTCCCACTTACAATATAGCTTTGGATCATGCGGTTGACCCCTTTTACGATATTCACATTCGTGTAATACAAAAGGCGTACTATCCAATGTACTGGATACCGATCCCCAATGGATTGGGGGTTTTCACACACCGCCCCACCGCCTTACAAAAAAGATATAGATACCATAGTCCAAGATCTACTGTTCACTCATGTTAACCGACAACCTAAGCACGGGAACTTGAAATAACGAAACTCAAGCGTGGTATTAGGCCAGGCCAGGCAGTTCGATTCACCCGCTGCCTTGCGGTTAGGTTCTTGTTAGAACTAAAGGCTTTGGACGAAAACCCTAATCGTTCTCCTGCTTAGTGGCTGGACACCCTGGCAGTACCCGTCTATCAAACCCCAATACATATGCATTGCGAATTTGGCAGCGATCAGTGAATTTCGCTGTACTGATGCTGATGCTGTAGCATAGGAGCATTTCTCTAGTTGCAAGTGAAGGGTGACCAGCCGCAACCACAGACACCCATCCCCGACCTTACTGAGGCTTACGGAGGCAATTGATTTCCATCCAGGGAAACGCTTACATTTTAATGGGGGTTCAACAAATCAAGCCCGAGGATAGTATCCTTTGAGTTACTCCGGTGATAAGATACTGTATCGTAGATTTTAATCATTCGGAAAAGAAAGTTGCAACGAGAGAAGAACAGACGGAATTCTGTAACGGATAGCAGTGGCTCCCTAGAAGCTACTTTAATCACTTGGATACCATCGCTCTTTCTGACTAGTCATAGTTTGCTTTTCTGTTATTGGCAATTGTCAGTTCCCGGTTCAATCCAAATGAGAATTTTACTGGGTTTCGCATGCCCTTGGTCTGTGACTGCCTTATTATCGATTATCTATCTCATTACTTTCAGCGTTAATATCCATTACTCAATATTATGGATATCTTACTGCATTCACCTGAATTGAAAATACCTCCAAAATTGACCATCGGTTCTCACAGCACAGATTTGTACATGCATCAGTTTCAACAACAACAACATGTCACACACGCGCGGACCCATTTAGACCACATTAGTCAGCTCGATATTGATCATTCTGCCGCATACGTCAGACAAGTCAATGTGGTGTGCACTTTGGGTAAGTGTGACCTGTCCACGGACCATTCTCATCTCTCATTTGTTATCGAATAGGGGAACTTTGGAATTCGGACGTGCAAATCCGGGACATGATTCGGGGCGGTATGAATATCTTACGAATGAACTTGAGCATGGGTACGCACGAGTTCTTTGCCGATGCCATTCGCCGTGTGCGTGCTATTGAGGAATCACTTGATCACAATCCTTCAATTGGTGTGGCTTTGGATATTTCTGCTCCTCCTGTTCGCACAGGTCTCGTGAATAATGTATGCGTGAATCCCAGTTCTTGTGTTTTACTGAATCACATCTGTTTTAGGACGTGGACGCCACAATTGTACTAAACGATGGACAGACAGTTCAACTCACGACAAATGATGAGTATCAGAATAAGATCACAGATGGTGTAATCTGGATTGACTCACAGTATTATCCCACGGTGTTGCATTGCTTGAGTCCGGGTGATCGGGTTCACCTAGACGATGGAATGCTCTCACTGATTGTTAAAGAAGTTCGGTCCGATACAGCGGATTGCGTGGTCGAACGGGGTGGGGAGTTGGGCAGCTGGAAACGTGTGGAATTGCCCAGTGAAAAAATATATCCAGAAGACTTTGAACACAAATACAAAGTAGATCTGGTTTTTGCATCCCAATGCAAGGTTAGTATTGCTTTGGTTTTGATAAATATACGCATTTCTTCTCCTAGGTGGACTATGTATTTACGGGCTACGCTTCAACTGTTAGCAAACTGATGTATGCGAAGAAAATTCTAGGCCCAGAAATCAAATTGTTTGCCAAAGTGGAAAACCGTGAAGCGATGCATAAGTGAGTCGGTTCGTCTTCCCATATTACTTGATCGTATTGAGAAATCTGACAAATCTATTTTTATATATAATTAACAATTGTCTGAATAAGTGTATGGCTCTTTAAGGTGAAATGCGTATATTCTGTCCTCAAAACCTGCTGTAAATTCAATTCAATTTGGAAGCATGTAGTTGATCCCTTTATACAAAAGTCATGTATGCTCTCCTATTTTAATTCTTATTTATTCTACCAAATGTTTAACTAAACGATGTCAACCGAAAGCATCTCACGAAAGTGCGAGGTTCATAAGGCGGTATGCACGCTAACCAGGGACGCCTACTAATCTAAATTCGAAGTGATAACGAATTCTCCAGTGAATCATTCCCAAGCACTCGTTGGCTTACCTCTGCTTTGCTTACACTCACTCCATTCGACTTGCTCAAGAATCGAGGACTTTTAGAGGACAAATGTAATCTACGCCACCGTCTCACGGAACCCCCTAGTTTTGGTTGGTGTTGGTATGTTCTCCGAGCTGGAAGTGTTGTTCGCAGACGTTTCGTAGCCAGGCTAGGCAAAATCATCAGTGCGACTTTCCCGAAGTCGGGCTGACCGGAATTTAGTCAAGAAGTAAACGTTTGGCCTTGATATTTATCGCAGTACCGACACTAGAACCACTGCCAAATCTCTTGGCACATGGAGAGTGAGGCGTGAGGATGAGTTCAAACCTGGAGACCGCAAGATGATTCAAGTAGGGTCTCGTAGGCGTGTTTCGGAGATACAGTATACATCTGAATAGAAAGTTTCAAGCGTTCTAGCCAACAGAATATGCGAACATTAAATTCGGCTAAGTGAAAAGGTGCCTTGAGAGTAAGAAAATCCAAACCAGTAGACTCGGTCCTATGGGTCAAAATAGGCCTCCCGAAAGGGAATCTCGCTATCAGCAGAACCGATGGCTACGTCCACTGAGTGATACGACCGAGTGTCGTAAACAGTGGTGCACCTAATCACTTTGTTCGTAACACTTGTCTACCAGACTCTTCACTTTCATATTGCTCTCAGATTTCTACTTCTTCCGTATGCTGCTTAATCCAGTTAGACAGCCTAAAGACAGCGACAAATAGCCGGCGCATGAAAGTGCGAGATCATTAGTTGCATGAACTAAAACGGTTTTTGCAGTCACTGAGTATGAGAAATATTAAGATAGTATTGCCCGTAGTAATATGTGAGGTTTGAGGAATGTCAAATAAAAACGGGTGAATGCATGAGCGTCATTATCTCCACCAGACGTGTCTCGAGAACTCCAATCATCCAACCTTATACTTGCGTGATAAACCACGGATCGAGATTCTCAAATTCCCATGCTAGGTTTGAATTCCTCCTTTCTTCCTATCACTACCCGACTGGACAAGCCTTTCACGTTGATGGAATATACTAAAAGACTGCCCAACACATCCTATTCATGGGGTGATAGTGTATAACCCCGAATGTCTAATACGTGACATCAGTTTTCCACTTTAATGACTGTATTGTCCCAGTAGGTTCGTGCAACGCGGCATAGACCTTCATACTAGAAGACTGACAAACCTCGTGTAATATTGTGTGCGTAGCGACCGTCTGAGGCCAGACGGTGTGCCAAACAAATTATGGTACAATAACCTTCATAAAAAAGGGAAACGTTCCATGATTTGTTTGTGGGCCGAATACTGCCAGGTTGCCCAGGCCAATACACTTTTTGGGGAATTCAGAACCGGAGCCTTCGGCTATCTAAAGCGTGACCTGCTAGACAGAGGGACGGTGTGCGAAAGCCGCCATTCGCTGGGGGCCGGTGTCCAGTTCATCGGAACATACATCCTTTGGACGGGATCGAACGTCCAATGTGCCCAGTACACCTCGATGCCCAATGGAGCCGGTGACCTTGCTACAACCGGAAAGGTGTGTGGTTCGTACGCCTCTTGGTTGGTTTGGAATCAGGGTTTTTAGCCAACTCCCTTAGGTGAACTACCGGTGGTTCACCGACCCAGTTATAGCCCAGAAAATTAGCTTTTCGTCCTCTCACGTTGGTAGGAAAACACCGCCACGAGAAGGTAGTGAGTAGGGCTTCCTCAGCAGCGGTTGGGGAATCTGGCAACTATTTGGTCACATCGTGAAGTTTTCAGGTTTCCCAACTGGAAGTCTGTGTGATTAGTTTCCCTGATTGGAACTAAAAATAAAAATCAATCGCCTCTTGTGAAATGGTTCATGATGTTTCTTTCACTCAGGTGACCCAAAGAAGGGTCCGAATGAACTCTAGCAATTTGTGTTTCAGCGTTTTTTTGTTACGGCTTTAATTCAAACATGCGAGTTTGTTACTGCATTCTATTCCCATATTCAGTCTGAAAGAGCTAATGTCCATCGCGGACGGCATCATTATCGGTCGTAATGGTCTGGGTTTGTGCTATCCGCACGAGAAAATTTTCCAAATTCAAAAACAGTTAATTGCCAAATGTAATATTCTTGGCAAACCGGTGTTTGTGATCGCACAACTGTTGGAATCGATGCGTTTCAAACCGCGCCCAACTCGTGCTGAGGTCACTGATGTGGCAAACGCTGTACTGGACGGTGCGGACGGATTAATCCTTACGGTTGAGACCTCGCGTGGGCTGTACCCACGTCAAGCGCTCCGAGTGCTACACAAGGTGAGCACGTGTTGAGTTTATTGCCTCGTGCGTGAATCGTGCTATGCGAAAGGATTTCATTCTGACCACAATCGCGTTTTGTCTTCGTTCAGAGAGTTGTTGTGATTGTTGCTGCTGCTGCCTACCACCAAGGTGAGCTTGCCGTGCTGGCCTGTGAGTTCAGAGACTCCATACATGAAAAGGTACAGTGCTTTTCGTTGGTTTCACGTTGTTTCATAATGCCTAGATCATAGAAACCCATCACGTCACATATTTATGCTATGGAATTCATAAGATGTAAGTAACAGTCTGATCTTGAGGTCGCAGTTCCCATTTGAGTTCAGAATAAGAAAACGCCCGAGAAAGATTGTTGTATTGTACACTGTGACCATTGAGGCTTTTGGTTACTCCTACTTGGATTTTTGTGAAGAAGTACAAAATCGATAAAGTAATGAAATGCGCTCTCGTAGCTCGAGTTGTCACTCATTTCCACGCAGTCAGTCATCCCGTATTTCTCAAATGAAGTTAATTAGCGTCAAGAGCTAGGATCTCATGTTCCCTGATAACTAAACGGACGGATCTCGCTGAGCTCTACACTCGCCATAATGGGCGCAATAACCCCTAAGTTGGTCAGTCTGTTCTGATTCACAATCCCCAGCTTTCATTTCAACTCCTTGCTGTTGTTGAATGATTGTTGCCTGTCGCTCACTTCTTAAGCTCTGAATTCCTGTGAACAGCTCCAGTAGAATTAATTGCACATCGTTCTCTTTGCAACTGTAATTCAAACCAGTTTATCTGCCTTAAGTTTGTCTTCGTATTCCCAGTTATATCCAAATGCCTCAATATCTCAGTGTTACTATCTCCCAAAATATCACCTGGACTTCACATTTAAACCCTACTTTCAAAAAGATTCGACGATTGTGTTTCTTTATTTCCCGCTTGTGATCTTTAAAATTTCCACTGTATTTACTCACCCGATTTGTATATTCCTGTGTTGTTATTCATCTGCTTTACTCCTCCCCAGTTTTATTTGCCGGCTTTAGAGTAAAAGGTTACACAATTCTACGCCGGTCTATTAAAATTATTTCGCGCACAAGCGGTATTCCCTATTTGCACTTGCTTAACTTTATAGCCGACAAACATTTTACCTCTTGTGAAAATTTCTGCAACAGAATTCTTTCAGACATCACACCCATTACACAGAGAGCTTGAACAATGCGTATCCACTTCTGTAACTAGGTGTCGTTATAAACTTGCATATGCTCGTACCCCTGCCTACCATTTGTCCGTTATCTTATATCTTTCGAGATTTCTGGCACAAAAAACATCCATTAGAGAAAAAGTTTTAAGTTTCCTACGCAAATGATATCTATTTTCAAACATTCTTATTAAAATGACGATGCTGTATTTTACTTTTTCTTTGTGACTTTATGCGATGATAAGTGATCGTAATGTGCAAGAAGCTGAGAATCCATCTATTAGAATAAAGCGATTTTTGACTTGACTTGATTTGAATTCTCCTGGTATAGTTGAACCTTTCTTGTTTATGCTTTTATTTATTTATTTATTGCCTCGTTTTTACTTCATTTTATCCGAGGGAAATACAATTTTGCAATCTAGTCTTTCCGGAAGAGTACTGCAGTCAATCAAAAGCTTCACGGGAACAAACTCTTGTCTGCTGTATATTTCCCTGTGCAAAGTCTTCTTAACGTTAGAATTCTCACTTCCAACACTGTTCTATATAACAACTTGCAATAATCATTAAAAATGAAAATGTTCTTATCCATAGAAAAATAACTTATAATTAATTAATAGTTGCTTAACCTCAATTCCGGTCATCGATTGGCTCCAATTCAGTTTCTGTTTTATCCATTTTTTCATACCCCTACCTCTTCCTGTACGTTCGGCTTAGACTTGTCGTGAGGCTGAGTCAGTCGTTTATCACGAGAAATTCTGTTATGATCTGAAATTTTCACGAGATCTACGTGGCCTGTCTCCGATGGAACCCACATATTTTGCTGCGTTGGCAGCAGTCGAAGCCTCAAATGCATGCAATGCGTCCGCGATTATTGTAATCACAGCTTCCGGTCGGTGAGTGCGCATTTTTCACTGAGTCTACGATTTCACCCAATTGCCTGGATTCACGTTCACCGCATTTTCACTCCAAAGCTAAATCCTACCGGTGTGTTTCTATGTTAAAGCATGAAAGTGTAAGAACTTTATATTTTATTAAACCAGAAACGGAAAAGTGCCATACCATGCTGTTGCTACATTGTTCGTTATCACTGAAACCGGCGAACTTGCCACGGCCTATCGGTTGGGCTACAAAATACATAGATCGAATTAGCCGTCTGATCAGTTTCCTGGTGCCCAAACGCACAGTAAATCTGCGTTCTTCCCCTGAATAAGTAAGTTCCGTTCTTCGAAAAGGCCTCCAGCAAGATGGAAACAGTTACCAATGTTACCATGTATTCTCCGTCATTCAGTTGTAAATGTGTTTGTGTACATAGTATGCCCCGCCATAAACTACGTTTGCGTTAGTTTGGGTCATCTAAAATATACTGTCAGGTGGTGAAATAACCGAGGAAAATTACTACAACTCCCAGATGACAATTTGGGTTAACAAGAATCATTTTCAATGATTGGCAAGTTTAACACACACACAAAGACCCGGATGTACATCCGAGTCTGGTGGATCTCATTGTGAACTACACCTCTCCTGTTCAGTTTTCTCAATGGACAAGTTGTGAACAACTCCCCAAATCTTGTTATTACACAGGAGTGAATATGGTAACCCCCAGAGGGTATTGGATTGTGCAAGGATTATTCAAACTAAAACTGGCTGATCGTTTTTGCATAGAAAGGTCGTAAGTTGGAGGAAAGACGGAAAGGAAAAACAAGTCCCACAATTTTTCAGTTCCGTGGAAAAAAGCTGATTGGAAGTCAAAAGTTACTGGTCGCCCGTGTACCCAGCCTAGAGGAAACAACGAGTGGGAAAGGGACAGTATGGAAATAGCAATTTCAACTGAGCAAAAATCAAAGGAGTACTGATAGAATATGGATCAAGGAGCGACTGCTCGACAATGAGTTTGTGTCTGCAAGCTGCATATTCTGGACAAGTGGTTGATTGGACGAGCGATCTTATGTTCCACCCAGTTTCGAAGCGATAGAGTGGTAGACGAACCTCCGTCCCATGCATGACCGCAGTATTTAAATTTGGAGAAGATATGTAAAAGTAGGTGAAGGTAAGGCGGGGAAGAGAAAAATCATCTTGCGCGTATTGCGAGAGAAAAGTAAATAAATGAAAGAGACGATAAGCTTGTCCAAGCAGGTTGAATGCGAAAAGTCATCCAAATAAACCCCTACTTTTGAAGTCCTGCTTGTCATCACATCAAGCCAAAATGAAATCGCCTCTCATTGAACACTTATAGGACAGAGTTTATTTTTAGCCAAAGACATTCGCATCATTCGCTGCTGGAATCCGTTAACCGATGAGTTATACCCATTATCAGAACTAACTACACTGTGTCAAATAAATCTAGATCTCAGATGCCTTGAAAGAACAGCTTCATGAAACCATCTCATGAGGCAAGAATAATTTATCTTTTACTCTTGGACAGATCGGGACCTTGTCAGGGCCAAGGTGTTCAGCATTGCTTGACTAGAAAAACGTGCCTAGAAGTGTTGTGATCATTTTCCATTATTTTATCAGCATATTAGCTACCTGGAATACATTACTGTGGGTAGTATACTTCACTCATATCATTTCTGTTTGGCTTTAAGCGACCAGCTTTATGAATTCACTTTCACGCACAAACTTAGTTCATGTAGTCAGTCGTTCATTTGGAAAACACTAAACTGGAGATTCACTCTGATACATATCCAAAAATGAACTTTGATATGCGCTGGTTGACACAGTGGTAACACCGGGGTCTGGAGGTCTAATCTCGGATAGTTCTCTATCTATGCACCATTGACGGTGAACTTCAAGTTTGCTGTTTTTCACATGTTTGTTTGGTAGAGCGATCCCAATCACTGCTCACCAGTAACTGTGAGTTAAATGTGGATCAATTCGTGTTCTTCATGGAGAACCATTTTGTTCCAGTACCAATTTCATTTTCTTTCCGTTCGATAGCTCTGCTACTGCAATCGCCTCGTTTCGACCATTCTGTCCAGTGATTGCTATTGTGCGACGTCCAGAAGTGGCTCGTCACTGTCACTCATTTCGAGGTATTCATCCATTCGTTCTTACTGGTGAGTTTTCGTGCTGGTTCGCTCGTACAAAAACGTTGCTTAAAGTGAATATTCT